GTTACTCTTTGAAATCCACCCAGAACTTCTAGAGATTCTTGTTATGGTTTGTGTCTAGCTGTCCCCCCATCAAAGCCTCATGCGGTCAGGCTTAGGACATTTCTGCTGAGAAGAACTGCATTGGCTGTTGGACTTCAGTGTGTGTTATGACTTGGCAGAGTGTTTGTCTGCGTTTTGCTTGTGTCCAGAGACTTTGCCTGAGACTAAAATTAAGGATGGTGCACTAATTAATCTGGCAGAAGAAATTTCAAGGCAGTTGAATGTTGAGATGGTGGCATGGCTACTGTTGGAGGCTTTTAGTCAAATCTGTTTTGAAAATCAAGAGCAAAGAAACCAGCAGAATGATTTAAAATGTGGTGAGTTTGGCCAGAAAGGAAGCTCCAGTAAAGCTGTAGACTGAAAAATAGAACAGAGGAGGTATTGATTGCTGAGAAGAAACAGGAGACTAGAAAAGTTGGCCTAAGGGCATCACAAGAAGCAGCAGGATTCTGCTCTGCAGCCTCAGAATTGCAGAAATGAAAGACTTTGCTTTGAGAAGAAGGCCCCAGAGTACCATGTTCCAGAATGGTGTTAGAGAATTTGTTCCTTGGAATTGGGTTCAGAGTGCTTAGCAATGCAAGCACTTGACCCCTACAGCCAAGGTAGCGGGAAGCCTGGCTAATTCTCCAGCTGGCAGCAGACTTTGGCATCATCCACGTAGTGCTAGTTTAAGGTGCATACATAATGGAAGAGTTGCAGGGTGGAGAAGGCTTCCACTCAGATTTTAGAAGAAGGCCTGGGAGGCCAGCCTCTGTGCCCGTGAAAGGGCAGTGTGTGAAGCTATGAGTGTGAGGTCAGATTGCTTTGGATACTGGACGTGGAACTACAGGGCTTAATGTTTTCCCTAGTGAATTTTGGACTGGCTTTGGTCCCTTTTTTTTTTTTTTTTGTTGTTCTTTTTATTTTAAAAATAAAAGGAGGAAAACATTAACAGACAGACAACCTTTTACAAAATAGCAAAAGAACAATACAAATAATATAGAGTTATAAACAAAGTGGCAGGAAATTAGCAATGCTTGTTGTATTACATATTGATATCTGCAGGTCCCATTTTTTTGTATACCCCTGTTTGTAAGTTTTGGAATGGAAATGCCTATCTTGTGCCATTGAATGTTGGAAGTGTTCAACTTTCTTTTCATTAGCACAGGGGCTCACAGCTAAGAGTTTGCCTTAAATCTCAGAGGAAACTTGGGACTTGGGCTTTTCAGCAGTGCTGAAACTGTTAGGACTTTGGCAACTTTTAGAAATGGACCGAATGCTTTTTGCATAAAGGGATGTATATGAGTATAGGAGGCCAGGGGCAGAATGTTATTGTTTGTGTCTAGATATACCCCCAAAGCCTCATGCTGTCACACAGGTTTTTTCAGAGGTGGCTGAATCTAGAGTGTGTAATGCTGGGATTAAGGGTGTGTGATTAGTAAATCAGTCCACTGATTGGTTTGGCATAGTTCTGCATAAGATTAAGGGTGTGAGTGCTATACCCAAAAAGGAAGCATACCCTCCCTGGGGTGGGCAGCCTGCATGTAAGGGACAGAAAGAGTCTTGTCCCTTTTGTTGCTTTCCTAATTTCTGGCCACCATGAAAAGGTCCCTTTCTTGTTTTTGCTGAGAATAGTAACTAAGACACTTCCATTCCTGACTTTCATTCTCCATGAATACTTTGTTCTCACTTTGACTACGTCAAAATCTCTTCTCAGAATCTCAGATTTTTCTTGGTCAGCTCTCCTGAAGGCACCTAAAGGGAAAATTTCATGCCAGGATCATGTTTTGGTTTTGTTTTCCTCCTTCAGCTAGAGACCTGCCTGCTGTTCTTAGCCAGTATATTAGACCATATATGCTTGACCATGTTTTAAAACTACTTTGTCCATGTTTTGTAGTTGTTCCCTGGAGCTCAGTTGGTCTCTTGTAGGTGTAAAATCTGAACTCTGAGCAGCCTGTGGGACATCCAAAGGGCTGCTGTTGCTTGCTCTTGATGTCTCAGTGGAGGTTGTTTGGCACCTCCGTGTTCTTTGTAAGTTCAGAAATGAACTTGCCTTTGCACACCTAATCAGTTCTTTTTTTATTGGTCCTTTTGAGACAGGGTCTTGCTGTGCAGTTCAGGCTGGCCTTGAGCTCACTCTGTAGCTCAGACTTGCCTCAAACTCGCAGTGATCCTCCCACCTCTGCCTCCCTTATGCTGGGATTATAGGCATGTGCCACCACGGCATTACTAAAAGAAACAGATTATTTGTAATTTTTCTTATAGAGGTCCAATGTTTGATTCCTCCATGCTGTTTTTAGTGTAAGGTATGATGAGTCTTTCAAGTAGACTATTTTTTTTTAACTAATTCAAGATAATTTAGAAATTAAAAATTTGAAGGCTCCAAACAAAACATTACTGAATTCTCCTATGACCTCAGTTACAGGAGGTTTTCATTTTAATATTTTAAAAAATTATGAATCATTTCAATCATGCTTGATTAACTATAAGTTTTTACAAAGACATTTTAGGCATAAGGCCTTATGTCTAAGTTATTAGAGACTTGAAAATATCTGTTTTGTATCAATTAAAAGTAAACGTTGTTCATCTTAGTACAAGAAATTTTACTTCCTTAGTAAGGGGTTATTTTGATGGGTTTGAAATATATAACCATTCTTTCTTAATACCTGTGCTATAGTCATAAGGATATGAGTGTAGGAATCAAAGGCAAAGAGAGTTTCAGATCTGCTTCCCACTCATCTACCCACCACCCTTCTACCTACCTATCCATCCATACATGTATCTCTGTTTATCTGTCCATTCATCTTACCTCTCCCCCATCCATCCATCCATCCATCCATCCAGTCATGTTTAGTAAATGTCCATTCATGCATGTGTGGTACTATGCATGCCTTAGATCAGTTATTGCCATTACCACCTTAGGCAGCTTATTACTTGTTCTTTAAAATGGGAGCATGTTAGTAAAGTGCCATATATGAGTTGTCGTGATACTAATCTCACTTGCTACCATTTACTTTTTGATCTGTGCTGTTTTCTTGCTTCTTAGCCAAAATTAGTAATGATGTACACAGATTGCTTCTGATTGCTCATTCTGGTGGCCTGGCTTGTCCTAGAGGTGCCGGTCACTGTGATTTCTGTGTCCATAGGCTGCCTCTCTCCTTTGTATGCAGAGTGTCAAGGAACAGTGGTGACAGAGAGAGCAAAGAGGGGAGTGACAGTGCTTCAGACCACAGTGTTGTCCATGAAGGCCATGCTGGATACCCTTTGAGAGCCTGGTGTGGTCTTGGGAGTGAGATACAGAGAGGACCCGAAAGTGAGACCTGGCATAGATAGATCAGTCAGTAAGTTATGTTAACAGCAGAGGCAGACCAGGTGGCAGCAAGTGGTCTTTCTAGGTTTTGGTGGCAGAAGAGTGGCCCCTTGAAATTGGGTGGGGTGGTGGCATTTGAACAATTGGTGAGAGGCACTGACCAAATGAAGGGAGGGGAGAACTTTCCAGACTGAGCTGAAGGCCGAAGCTGAGCAAGGGCATCAGGGTAGGGGATATGGCTGGTGTGTTAGGAGTTGTCCCTCCTCCCCATGATGGTCATGGTTGGCATGGATGTGTACTTATGGATGGGAGAGTTCAGACAGTGTGAGTTATGTCAGATGGAAGAGTAAGAAAGACACTGGGCCTGGAAAGCTCTTCCCTGTTACTATTTTTGAAAAAACAAAAAACAAATAACAAAAAACCCTAAGTAAAAATATTTAATATTATACTAAATATTAGTCCTTTGTCTGAGGAATAGCTGCCAAAACTTTTTCGTATTCTGTAGGTTGTCTCTTCACTCTCTTGTTTCATTTGCTGCGCAGAAGCTTTTTAATTTGATATGGTCCCATTTGTTGATTCTTGGTGCTATTTGTTGTGCAGTTGGGGTTCTGTTCATAAGTCCTTGCCTATACCTATGTCATCAGGAGTTTTACCTGTTTTATTTTCAGCAGATTGT